AATATGGATGCTAGAAAGAACTCCTAGGTTCAAATCCTGGCTCTGAATTTACTCACTATGTGCCCTTGGGCAAGTTATTAGCTTTTCTCTGCTTCAGTTTTAAAAGAGGAAGCAATAAGACAATAGTAGTGCCTTAACAGTACTATTATTGTTACCTTAAAGGCACACCAACTCTGCTGAGAGGGGAAGAAGTTATTAGAGAAGTGTTGTTGTGAGGATGCAATGAGGAAAAACTGTATACAAAAAGGTCTCAGAGCAGTGTCGACAAATTACATTGTTGTTATTTTAAAATTCTTTAAGTTCACGTGCCTGGAAAATCTGTATTGAACCCCATACACAGAATAGATTATTTCTAATATTTTTTAAGCTGATTCTGGTTATATTCCAACCGAAGATCAATAAATGGATATTTTATTACACTATTGGTGCTGAAATAATTACTGGTAAACTCTTTCATATTAAGTTTGTAGTTTCTTGGCTGTTATAGTTCTTAATCTTTTTACCCTCATGAGGGTAGTATCAATAACTACTTGTGCAAAAACTAGACAATTCTTTAATGAAAACTAGGCAGATAAGTTCCTTTTATAGATGAGGAAACTGATCAGTCAGTAATATCACCTCAGAGTATTTCTCTTTTTGGACACTTCTCTAATGACTCATTACTCTCTCAGTAGAATTCGTATCCCTTCTTTAGATTACCAAAATATCCAGCCTACACCTTTATTAAGTACTTTTCATTCATTGTTGTTAAATTGATTGTTACATCCGTCTCTTTTACTGTTCACATCTGTTATCTTCAGCACCTAGTGTAGGACCTATCACGTAGTAAATGTTCGGTAGGTGTGGATCAATGATCGAATAAATGCAGAGTACTTCCTTGTGTTTATTTTAATGTTTAAGTATGCATGCTTTGAAAAGAGCTAAAATCTTGCAGATTTTCCTTCTGATATAATGAGTAATTTGTTTGGTATAATTTGGCTGTGGCCAGTGGACTTTCTTTTTTTTTCCTTCTCTTTTTCTCAGGCAGAAAGTTTAGAAGAGAAGAATATGGCTAAAGCCCATCGTTGTCAGATGGAGAGGTTGAAATCACAGTGTGACAGATTGACAGAGGAATTAACCCAGAATGAAAGTGAGAACAAAAAATTGAAGCTGAAATATCAGTGTTTGAAGGACCAACTAGAAGAAAAGGTAAAAATATGAATGAATTCTAAATTTAAAAGACTCATTTTAAATTCTTCTCCTACTTCTTCTAGAACATATTTTATGTATTAATAAATGGTAATTGTAGTCTTTCATAGGAAAGTTGTATTGGTGCCAGAAAAAATGATGGTTTATTAGATTACTGTGATTTTTACTCTTTTCAGCCAACCAGTCGCCTTCTAATACATTTAATTTTAAATTTCTTCTGTGTCTTAAAAGTGGAATTTAGAGACCTAGTAAAAAAGAAAGAAAGAAATAATGACTTATTGAAGACCTACTATATGCCAGGCATTTATGCCAACTGATTTACATATGTCTACTCATCATTTAATTCTCTCAACTCTGTGGGTGTCTTAGTCTGTTTGAGCTGCTGTAACGGAACGCTGTAGACTGGATGGCTTAAAACCAATAGAAATTTATTTCTCTTAGTCCTGGAGGCTGGAAAGTCCAAGATCAAGGTGCTGGCAGATTCAGTGTCTGATGAGGGCCTGCTTTCTAGTTCATAGAAGACTCTTTTTCTGTGTGTCCTCATATGGCAGAAGGGGGATGGGAGCTCTCTGGGGTCTCTTTTAGAAGCATTAATCCTATTCATGAAGGCTCCATCTTCATGACCTTATCACTTCCCAAAGGCTCCACCTCCGAATACCATCACATTGGGGATTAGGTTTCAACATACGAATTTTGGGGAGACACAAACATTCAGTTTATAGCAGTTAGGTTTTATTCATCCCTTTTAATCTATGAGGAAGCTGAGACTCAAAATATTTAATGGTTGTGTTCACTTATATGGCAGGCATTATAACTTTTAATTTTCATAGCAATTTTGTAAAATTGATACTATTATCCTCATTTTCATAGTTGCAGAGAGTGAAGATTAAGAAGATTGCAACTTTAGTACATCCCCACCAGGCTCACTGCTTTCCTTTGAGTAGACGTGTAAATTTATTTTGAATGACTACCATATATCACATGCTGGATAGAATACTAGGGATTTTGAGAAGTCACTACTTTGGAGGTTCTCTTGTGGCAAAAAGTCAAGTAAGAATAGGTGACCAGAATATTTAAAATTCCTTTCTATTTCTTCCACTAGCTTCCTACAAGGATTTTCAGTGGAGAGTGATAGAAATCAAATGTGAAAAAGACCATTAAAATGTGGATGATAGGATAAGGCAATATAGACATGGGCCAAGTTAATGCTATATGTTCAAGATCAGGGTTACTGAAATCTATTATACTAAAAACTATTCATAAACTTCTAGGGAGAAACTTTCTGTATATTTTTCTCACCTTTCCTCTTCTTGTTGTTTGTAAAATTTCGTTACATTATATATGTATATTTTTTACCCCTCTAGTGATTGTCAAAACCAAGGAAGTAAAATACAAGTTAATTTGGAGTTTATGATTAAATGTGCTTAAGTTGCTAAATTTAGATCTACAATCTTGACAACAGCTTTATTTTAGTTCTTATGCATTGCTTTGTTTTGATGTGTCTAGTGTTCACACATATTTAATGTATCTGTTGTCAGGGTGTAGTTGTTGTGGAGGTAATGCTAAATTTTCCAACTTTTCCATAATTAAAATTGTAGGCAAAAGATTCTGTTAACATGTTTTATATATTTTTATCTGCATTTAAGAAATAGTGATGAAAAATTTGATATGTTAAAAATGTAAAGTTTACCTTGTTCTACTTAAAATAAGTGTTTCTTCACTGATTCTATTTGTGATGTTCCAGATCTATGTGTTATCACACATTCATATAAATGGAACATTCACCTTTGAACAGTTCGAGGAGTTAATCATTTTATTACATTGCTATGTACTGAGCATATACTATGGGGCAGGCTTTGTGCTGTATCCTGAGGATAGGATATAGATAAAATACAGATCTGCAATTGACCAATTATTAAAAACAAAATTTTTTTTAGTTGTTAAAACTGTATAGTCAAGTCCTGACAATGAGTGCTAATGCAGAGAAAAGATGGTCTCTGTATTCTAAAATGGTGAATAATCTTAAAGATACATATATAGAGAAATATATACAGCCTATATGCTTGCTTTTCTTTAATATTTATTTTTGGCATACATGATTGTTAGGTACTTTTGATTGATTTAATGGTTTGTGTTGACCTATTCTTTAGTGAAATTAGGTATGAATCACAATTTTGTTGGATTGAGCCGTCTACAGAGGTAGTATAGCATTAGTGGTTATGGGCAAAACTTTGAATTTTAATCTTTTTCTAGTTGTGTGACTTCAGGCAAGTTGCTTAAAACTCAAAGCCTCAGTTTTATTATCCTTAAAACAGGTATAATAATGCCTTTATTGTAGGATTGAATATGAGAATATACATAAAGTACATGGCACAGTATTTGGTATCTTATAAGATATTAGTTAATGGTAGGTGCATTATTTTGTTATTGTTATATTTCCAAATATATGCTGATAATGGTTCAACCAGGCAGTCAACCAATTGGCAAATATTGATTGATTGCCTTTGGTCTGTCTAATGATGTGTTAATAATAATGTGCCTATGATATACTTAATAATAAAGCCATAGAAATATGCTGATTGGAAGTTTAGAGCCAAACTATGTTGAATCATTTGAGAGAGATGGTCCACAAAGGAGTCACCCATGTGAAAATAGCTGGCAGTTCCATTGGCAAGCGATATTGAAGGCACATGTAAGCAATCCCAACAGGTGGACGGTTTTACAATTATGCTTGCTATTTGAGGAGAGGAATTACATCTTAGTCATTTTTCCATCTTTGAGATCACGCACAGAGCCTGATACATAGTAGGTAATTTATAAGTAAATTATGGAGAGAGGTATACCCACAATTACATACATGTGTGTATAAAGAATATGGATACCTGTATGTCTATATGTAGAGAAGGAAATATGGAAAGAGAGACACACACACAAACACACATATAAAATGGCCACAGTGAGGGAAATTAAAACAACAGAACAAAATAAAAATATGTTTTCAGTAAAGGAAAGTCTAATAACTAGTAGCCCAAAGATTACCATTTAAGCAATGCAATGAGCTTGATAAATGAGGCCTTATGGACTGAAGGGGGTTTATGATTCAGCTCTGCTATAATCAAAAGGGAAGCCTTTCACATTTGCTTAACATATGATGCTACTTAGGCTACTAATACACACATTTTTTAAAAAATATTGCTATTTTGACTTTGTGCCTTGTTTTAGGTTATATTTCTTATGTTATTATTACTTGATAAGCTAAGAAATGTTAAAACTGCATCAAAATGTATAGAAATCATTATCACCAGTGGTAGCATTTATCAGTATAGAAAATTGCTGTTAGTGTATATGCGCAGAATAACTTTAGTATATTTTCCTCATTGAAGAATGGTGATATATGGTATTAAAATGCATTTTTTGCAGGGTGTGATTTTACTTTGTCAAATGTTATTTTTCAATTTTACATGACAAAGAGAACAAATATTATGCAACCCACAAAATTTTATATATGCATTTGATACTTTATTATGAGCTTCTTACCATTGAAAAGCCCTTCTGAAATATTACAGGAAGAATTTTCTCCTGTCTACAGTATCATTAAAATTTATGATTCCTTTTGCTTAAATTTTATAGAAAAATACTTCATTTCTACTTTTGTTCCAAAAGGATCTTATTGATATTAATCTTTTGATTCTCCTGGTACTTGGAAACTCATAATAGTGTTTATTCTATCAGAAATATATTTTTGTTGGTTTCACTGGAATCTGTGGATCAACAAAAGATAGTGGATAATTAAATCATTTTTGCTTAGCAAGTCAGCATCAAAGTTTACATAGTAAAGATTTTAAATGTCTCATCTAAACAGATCTATATCTGATCTAATTTTTAAAAAGTTTCTT